TTAATATTTTTAAAACCCCAACACTCAATAGGCCAATACAAAGATACCATCTCTTTCTGCGATTCTGTTAGAAATTGACGATAGTAGTATCTTAACTGGAAGAGCCGACTTCTGTGCGTCAGATACTGAGTCAAGATTGCATTGTGGAGGAAGTTGGCAGTGTGGTGATTTTGTTCTTTGGTTTGTATAGGCCTTACTGACATCTTACAAGGAAGCTGGTTACTGGCTCATTTCTTCCTGTGATAATGAAGTGTACTGACTGCAGTAGTTATCTAATATTAGTAGTGTTTTCTGTTTTGTAATATTGTGCATTTACCACCTGAGAGGTGCTGGGATAAATACTTTTTGGTGATCTGCCAATTTTATAAATGTAAGTATTGTACTAATTTGAACTATTCTGCTCTTTATCTACAAACTTATTCTGCTTTTTACTCGTAAAATGTGGGGCTGGGTTATTCAGCAAGCGGTTGGAGTGCTGCGATTAGTCTTGGGAATCCTAGGCTAAGGTAAAAAGAAAATTAGCCAGGGTTCAATATCTGCTTCATAATAATACTGGATAAAGGGATGGGCTTGCACTTATACAACACTTTATATGATGCAGTGGTTCCTGTACTGCTTGGTAAATGGGGGGGTGGAGGGAGGAAAAAACTGAAAGATACTAGGCCAGGAAGTCAGGTTTGAATAGTTCAAATGTAGGGATGAATGAAAATCTTACACGCCTTGCTTGCATCTATTCAGGATTCATTGATCACCAGTATATTTCTCCAGGAGGTCGGGTTTGCTTGGCTGTGTAAGGACAAACTTTAAAGGTATATATAACCTTAACTTTTTTTTTTGATTTCTTAATCTTGCATGACAAGTAAGTGCTCAGTCTGCCCTTCAGCCCGAAAACAAAATGGCAACATGTCTGTCAAAGGAGCATGAGATGAGTCGGTGTGTCTTTGCTTTCGGCTCTCGGTGTGAACAAATACAGATCAGGGATGAAAGTAGAAAATAGTGGGGCTACCCAGATAGTGTTGTAGATAGACCTGCAGCTTACAGACCAGGAACTCACTGGCTTGAATGCAGTTCTGTCGCTCAGTTTCTATATATGTAGAAATCAGTCGAATCAGGAAGTGACACTGATTGACATACTGCAGTGGAGCAGAGTTTGGTGGTACAGAAAAATAAACAGCTTTGTGTGATAACATCACACTCCGTGAAAGTGATTGAGATCCATTCACGATGTATTATGCATGTGTGAAATAGTATACTTTTGTTTTCTGGTGATGCAAGCAGACTAGAGCTTCACTGCTAGCTCTGTATCTCCCTCGCTCTTAATTTCAATGCAATTGAGGCAGAGACAAAGTTCTGCTAATCTGTAGTAAATACTAGTTAATCTTCAACATTATTGGAGAGCAGGGAGTCCCGTCAGCTCTTTTTAGTAAGGCTAAGAACCTGAAGTTTAACAGTTTATTCCACAATAGTTTTCCGAGGTAAATCGCACGACTTGCTGAGACCTGGGTTCAAGGCTTCTGTGGAGTTGGGTGGATTTAATTCAGAAAAGCACAACCCGTGCAGCGTAACTACACAAAAACTACAGTTGTAAGAAACTTCTTAGTCTTTGAATGTGTTTTAAAGTCTATTTATAAACTTTTCAGTTTTTTTCAGAAAATGATTTTTTACTTTATCAGTGCTGAAAGCATTAATGTACATAATAATACAGCAACAACAACAAGATTACATGTGTATAGTGCCTTTCACGTCGGCAGGATGTCCCAAGGCGCTGGACAGAGTACAGCATTTCAGACCCGGGTTGGGAGGGAGGGGAAGGGGAAGGGGGCAATGGCATGGTCGATGGCATGGTCGAAGAGGAGGGTCTTGAGGCGGGACTCAATTATTATTACATAATAATTATTACATAATAAGGTGACATAGGTTATTTGTACATCTGGATCGTATCACTTTTTTTGAACCACTACAGAATAATATCTTTGTAATTGCAATTGCTATTGAATTTCTAGAGAGTTTATCACATGTTTCTATTGAGTAAAATTCAGCAGAAACATTTAGTTGAGTAATTTATTTGAATAATTCCAGTAATTTATTCACTGGAAGAATCTTGATTCTGTCAAGTCGCTAATAACAGCCTGAGATACTTCAGTTTCACTGTAATAAATTGGGTTATACATAGAGATATTTTAAAAATGGTTAAGGTGCCTGAATTTGTTTATTTGTATTGCTATATTGGACTATATTTTGAGATTGTATCAAAAGAGCCTGCACAGGCACGATGGACCGAAAGGCCTCCTTCTTTGCTTTAATATTCTATGATTGTATCCAGCTCTGTATCTTGATAGAAGTCAGTAGCTTTCTATTTTAAGATATGGTGAGTATCTTGAAAGTATTTTGGAGGAACTCCAAAAGGTCAGGAGAGTTTTTAGCTGCTTGCAGCAAGGGTCCATGTTGTTGTTCAAGGAAGTTCATGTTTCTTTCACAGAAGAATCTCTCCGTCTACAACAGTGTAGTGGAAGTGTATGACTGTTAAACGGGAAGCTTTGGAGATCGATCAGGACACCAAAACCCGACTGTTTTGATTAAGCGGATGTACTGATTTAATTGGTTTGATGGTTTGCTAATCCTGTACCTCTGGGCAAGGGAAGGAAAATTCATCTAAGGTTCTTCCTAGTTTTGATCAGTGGCCACTGCCAGAATTGTGTTGATGTTGGGTGAGGACAAGGGCAAGCTGAACTCTGCTTACCCAACACAGTAAACACATGCTCATTGTCAAATAACATGCCTGTGCTTTCTGTCTGATTTTTTTTTAAATTAAAAGGAGCCACATAAGGTACAGATGAGATGTATGACTATGTTTTAGTCAGCATAAACAATAAGAATAATCCTTGAATCTGATAGAGCCTTATCACATCTTCAAGATGTCTTGAAGTGCTTCACAGGATCTACTGTAATGTGGAGTGACTGGGTGCTTTGTGGGCAAAAGAGATGTATTTAGCTGGAGAAAATGCAGCTTTTTGTTGGTCAGCCAGATATTTGACACATTCAGAAATGAATTTCCATGTTTAAGAGTATCCACACTAGACTGGAAATTCCTGTGTATGGAATATACACTCTCTTTTGGAGGGATGGACCCGTGTTGGGGTATTGCTGGAGTTCAATACAGTTGGAGGTGAACTCTTGGAGGAAACGCAGCCTATTCGATTTTGCTGGAAAGGGACTTACAACTGAATGCATCAGGTGCTGTGTGAAATAAGTCGTCTGGGAATGCAGCTCATCAGGTTCTTGAAATAAGTCAAATTTAAGCTTGAAGGTGTGGTGAGCAGGGATTATTATAATGTCTGTTTCAATATTTGTCCAATATTGACCTCCCTGTATATATGCATTTGCTGCATTATCAATGTGAAGTTTGAAGCGAATTTTATCTTGTGAACTTGTGCAGTTTATATAATTAACCGTTTGATTCCCGAGGCGGAGCAAAGTGAGAGACGTTAACAACCACTTCCTGACATTTTTTCAATAGAAAAACAATGTTAAAGACTCCTCCTGTCTGGCATCATTTTAAAATATTCCCTCTTCATCTGACTGTTTTAAAATACAGCATTGAGTTCGCAATTCTAATGCATTTAAAAGTCCCGCTAGTGTGCCTATATCAGTAGAAATACATTTTCATAAACTTTTTGCATTCTATCAACTGCTTTATTACTTTTTTTACTTTATTTGCTTTTTTACTGTGTACAAGCCCCACCCCTCTGAAATGGCCACACCTTATTCTTGGTGGATGTTGTGGTGAGTTTTACATTTTATTGTTACTACATCGATGCTCGAGGTACCTTATGACCAGCTCGAACACGTTTTTATTGCTTGTTATAACCTGTGTTTCTTTCAAGTAGAGCACATTTATTCCTCTATTACGTATTCCTCACAAATTGCTGATCTAGATTAGTCTGATTCTCTGCATTTGTATATTCCACTTTGGATAAGGTTAGTACTGTCGTATCTAATTTGTTTGACGAACTTTATTTGAAACTGCAGAGCCAGTGCACTTTGTTGATAATAATCCACGCTTAAGTTGGAAACATTTTTTAGGCACTTTATTTGTAGTTTAAGTGGTCCATATCTAACTAATTGAGGCTGTGATAGCCTGTGTATCATTGAAATATCCATTTGATGGTAAATGTAAATTGTTTATCGTACAATGCCTCTGTCGAAAAACTGCATATCCACTTTTCTGTACTGGGCTCAGGTGAGGAAGTGAATTGGAAGCTGAAATGCTTGATGAAAATTTTCACTTGTCCACAAGCTTGTGCAGTAGCATGGAATGTGATTTTAGCTGAATTGCGCAACTGTCAACTGAGTTACTTCATGCACCGGAATTGGGGAAAATACTTTGCAGTCCCATTATAACGTGTGTGGTAGTTGGAATCCATGAAATCCAATCCGTGCTATAACGGGGCACAATGTCAGTACCTCAGCACTAACAGCTCGTGTGCACAGAAAATCAGCCGGCTCAATTGGAGTTCCAAAAATGTCATAGGAAGCCGAAATTTATTTTGGATCAGCAAATATCGGGATCCATAAGTGAATGCGCACGAGAATGAAACACCTTATAACTGGAACAGTTGGGTTTGCTAACTGGATTCTTTCTTGCCCATTGTATATTGTTCGGTACGAGTTGAGGTTTCAGCACAGTTGGATGTATCCAACAATATGCAAAAAAAACTAAACTGCCAGAAATTCTTTCTGCGCTGGAAAATGATTTGACAAAGTATGAACTTATCTAACCATCTCATTCGGTAATTAACCTTCTGGCTCAATTACTGCACATGGGCATTGCAGAATCATTCAATACATAATTATGAATGTCCCATTTGTTCAGATTGCATTGTGTTGAGGATCAATATAGTTGTATTGTAGAGAACTGCTTTCTATATTTTAAAAAGGTTCATTTCTACAAATTGATACTCTTGCTTTCATGGTTAAGTTTTCCACTGTTTTCTTTGCAGATCGTAGACCATGTCAGTATGGACTCAGGCCCAGCAGCTTCAGGGCGAAGCTCTGCGTCAGATGCAGTCCTTGTACGGTCAACACTTTCCAATTGAAGTTAGGCATTATTTGTCCCAGTGGATCGAAAGCCAAGCATGGTAAGCACAATTTTCTTAACTTTCGTGAAAGGTTATGTCATTTGCATGAACTTCACACCACATTCTATCAGCAGAAGCGCATCCTTGAGATGGGATATTCACTGCCTCCAATGCTGCTCTTATTGTTCTGGTTAATGTCTTTACAGGGATACAATTGACCTGGAGAATCCTCAAGATGAATTTCGAGCACAAAGGCTGCTTGACACCTTGATACAGGAACTGCAGAAGAAAGCAGATCATCTAATTGGTGAAGATATTTTTGTGTTAAAGTTGAAATTAGGGAATTACGCCACTCAATTAAAGGTAGGTGCAAAATTGTAGTAGACAACCCTAATCCTTTTTGTGTTCTATGCCCATTTTAATTCATGTAACTTTAAATGCCATTTGAATCAACGTTAATAATCCTTGCCTTTGAAATAGCGCTTTGTCACGCCTTTGAGACGACTCAAAGGATATACTGTAAAGTGAATTGACTGTATATTTTGTGGATGAAACTAGAATGTGTGCACTGAAAAAATAAATTGTAAATAATAATAATCCTTGCATTTGATATAGTGTCTTATCACATTGTCAAATCACTTCACAGACTATACTGTAAAGTGAATTGCCTGTATATTTTATGAGCGAAACGTATTGCACATTGGTGTAGACTTGAAGATCTAAATCATTTCGATGCATCTTATTTCATGCAGTGTTTGAATTGATCAGTTTTGTTGTTGTTTCTAGAATACATATGACCGCTGCCCACTGGAATTAGTTCGATCGATCAAACACATTCTGTACCATGAGCAGAGACTGATCAGAGAAGCTACAAATGTAAGCATCAAGTTATTTATACTGAAAACCACTTTTAGGTTGTGTGTGTGTGTATACATATATATAATAAATATGTGTGTATATATATATAATAAATATATGTGTGTATATATAATAAATCTGAAGATGGGGAAGGAAGGGTAAGGTGGAACGATAGAGGAAGAGTGTTCTCGAGTTTCGAGGTGTAGCGGCTGAACGGAAGGCACGAGGAACATGCAGAGAATCAGAGCCAGTTTAACGGAGGTAGTGGGTTGGTGCCAGGGCGAAGGGATTTGAAAACGAGGGTGAGGATCTTGAAATAAATCCATTCAGCGATAGGGAACTAGTGGAGCCTGGCTAGAACTGGTGTGATGGAAGTGCCGAGTTTAGTATGCCAAGCTGTGTGGTTTTGTTGTCATGGCTATGATTGCCATTAATATGTTTCTTAGTTATTTTAGTCCTGCTGTTTTTGGCACATCAATTGTTGACAGTGTGGTTGCTAAGGGAATGCTCGTTCAGGTGTCTGATGTTAATGAAGCATGTCAGTTGAGGGACATATGCTGATTTTGATTCTATAATTTATTATGTTTTGGGATGTATGAACAAAATTGCAGCCGTAAAACATTTAGAATGATTATCACATGGAGGGAGCTGGACAAAATTCTACCACACCGCCACTGAAATACAGAAGTATTTTTTTGTGTGCTCTCTGCCATAATAATAATAATAATTCTTGCATTTGATATAGCGCTTTTCAGGTCGGGAGGACGTCCCAAAGCGCTTCACAGAACACACTGTAAAGTGAATTGACTGTATATTTGTGGGCAAACGCGGCAGCCAATTGCGCACAGCAATTAATGGCAATAATAAAGATTATTATGGATTAGATTGGATCAGGTGGTTTTAGAAATTTGGATTCAGAGATCATTTGCCGTGCCGAATTAAATGAGGGTTCAGATCTTCAAAATGTGTCCCAACACAATTTAATAGGTAGTTATTACAAGTAACATAGCAGTATTGGGTGGAGGGGTGGGGCGGGGTGTTGCAGTGGAGGAGGTGGGGGGTTGAGTTGGGATTGATTTGCTAATCTCATTTGCATTTTTGTGAGGACATAGTGAGCAAGGGCAAGGCCCCCTTTCTTGAAAAGCGGAAAGAAAAGCAATCTCCGGGCCAGACAACATGACAGATAAAATTCAGAGATGTAAATATTTCAGCATCACAACCAAAAAGAAAAAGTAAATCATTCTCAAACAAAGCTATAGTGTTAGTTTCAAAATCCCAATTTATTGGGTAGTTTGGGAGTTAGTCAAGTGGTACACAATGCTTTTAACTTTGGATGAAACATTAATAAACCAAAGTCCCATTTGCCTGTTCAGGGGACTTTAAAACACTACCCTGTTTGGTTGGACAGCGTGGTGGAAGGTGCAATTAATAATAATAATAATAATAATAATCCTCGCATTTGATATAGCGCTTTTCACGTCGGGAGGACATCCCAAAGCGCTTCACAGAATATTCTGTAAAGTGAAGTGACTGTATATTTGTGGGCGAACGCGGCAGCCAATTGCGCACAGCAATGTCCCACAAACAGTCATGGATTGAAAATGACCAATTTATTATTGTTTTTGGTTTTGGAGGGATTATTATTAGGCTCTGTGTGGAGTAAGGAAACTTGCCCGAGGTTTCGCCCTCTGCCTGGAATTGAACTCAGGTCTCTCGCTTGCAAAGCGAGTGCTCTAACCACTGAGCTACAGGACTCCACGATTAGTATTTTTTAAAATGAATTTCCACGTTCAGAGGATTTTCAAAATTAAAGAGGTTGAGACAATGGAGACCCTTCGTTCAGTCCATGTATAGGAACGCGAGTGGTCAATTCAGTTCACCAAGCGTGCTTCACGAATGCAGTGTAAGCTGTAGATGGATGATGGTAGAGGTCATGGAGTGAGCAGTGGGTGTTAGAAACAGTTGTTTTCATTTACATATTTACCACATTACGCCTTAGCACCACTCCCACCCCAGTTCTCTCGAGTTGATACTATTATTTAGTGAAAGTCAAGCGAAGCGCATAATCTTGCACAAGCAGGCTTACTTTGCGTGTGGTTTTGAGCTTTTTTTTTTTTACTTTCGGTTTCCTGGAGAACGGTTATGCACTTGATGATAAAACGTATCCTGAGTTTACCATTGTGTGCTAAATAAAATGGCATTGCTGCTGTCTTAACTGTTGAAAGCTGAAGTGAAACTGCTAACCGAAGATGGCTTGTTTTGCTTCAGTTTTACAAGTGCACAGAATGGTGCAAACGGTTCATCTTTAGCAAATGAAATGATAACATAGTGTTTGGAACTACAGTTATCACGAACCATCCCAACTGACCCAATCGGTGGATTTCTGATTGTGCCTGTCTTGTTCACGTCCCCTGTTGACGACTAAAAGGGAATTTAGTGGAATTGTACTTTTAATGCAGTTGTAATCAAGTTGTACTTTTCCATTTGGAGGTATCGTGCAGTTGCTATTTTTTTGTTCTAGTTGACCCCCTCTACTTTAGTCGGCGATATGTCATTGTCCCTATAATAATAATACTAATAATCCTTGCATTTGATATAGCGTCTCAAAACGCTTCACTGAATATACTGTCGGTGAATTGACTATATTTTGTGGGCAAAACGCAGCAGCCAATTGCGCACAGCTGGCTTGGCTTTTAGCCGCTGTGTGCTGCTCTGGAGCTCCCTCCCCAAATTCTTCCAAAAATCCCTGTGAAGCTTTGACTCGTGAATCATTCTACATATAAGTGCGTCATTGTATGGAGATGTATAGTATTTTATTTGCAAAGGGGAACATTGCGTTTTTGATTTAGTGTACTGCTCTGGAACACAATTTAATAAAGCCTGATGGAATACTGAAACTTGCCAACTAAGCTGCACAGAGTTCAACTGGCGTTTTGTGCAGTGTTTCGGGCAGGGCAGCAGTACGCCACCCAGAGGTAGAAAAAAAAGTCTTGGCAACCCAACAACATTGCCTTTAATCCAGATTATTGAGACCCGACTCCAAAATACCTTTTGGTATTGCTGCAGGTATTCTTTGTTTAAAATTTGAACAACAGTGTCATTGTTATGTACAGCGCTGTGCTCACTCTATACTGTAAGGCTCAACGATTATTTAAAGAGAAGTTTGTCCGGTTTGCTTGCTATCCTCGTCTTACTCAGTCTTCCTGATAGATCTTGAGAGACCTTGATATCAGTTGATAAATAATCCAGCAACGTTACCCCCCCCCACCACCACCACCACCGCCATACAAGACAGATTTGCAGTCTGTGCTAACGATGTGTTAAAAATTACAATATGGTTCATTCCATAATTGAGGATATCTGCAAATTGCTCTTTAAACCTAGTTAGCAAATCCTGTATGTTAGAGCTCGGTCAGTGCTTGTGGTATTGGATAGGGGTGATACTTGATATCTAGGCTGATTAAGTAAGGAGTAACAAGTCGTTTTGATCAAACTGACCCGGTTAAAGCTGATACGAGTTCTGAAGTTTAAATCTTTCAACACTTATCCAAAATATAGCTGTGCCAACTGACTTGTGTGTATTTCTTTGTATTTTTAAATATAGCCAAGTTCTCCAGTTGGTTTGCTGGACTCCATGTCTCAGAAACATCTACAGATCAACCAGACATTTGAGGATCTCCGACGGCTGACTCAGGATACCGAAAATGATCTCCGAAAGCTACAGCATACCCAGGAGTACTTCATTATTCAGTATCAAGAGAGTCTACGCATACAAGGTAACTTAAATTTTCTTTTTACAGACATTTCTATTAAGTCTTGATTTCTCAATTCAAATGAAAAATCAACAACAATTTGCATTTATATAGTGCCCCTCATGCAGGGTAGTGTCTCAGATTGCTTGACAGGGGCGGAGCACGATGCCAGGGGAGGGGGCAAGGTAACCGTAGGCACGGTCGAAGAGGAAGGCCTTCAGGCGCGACATGAAGATGGGGAAGGAAGGGCCAAGCTTTGCAAGGATAGAGGAAGAGTTCCAGAATTTTGGGGCTAAGTGGCTGACAGCACGGCCACCGATGATGGAACAGAGCGTACAGGGAGAGGCGGAAAGAAGAAAACTTTTCTGAGACTATAAAATTTACATCTAAGAATTGATGTAAAGTAATTTTTCCTTTTTTCAGCTCAGCTTGCCCAACTTGCACAGCTCAGTCCCCAGGACCAGAACCGTATCTTACGAGAGCAAGGCTTACAGCAGAAGCGAGCAACTGTGGAGACTTGGTTACAGCGAGAAGCCCAGACACTACAGCAATACAGATTGGTATTCATTTTATTGCTTGTGTTTTATAAACGCTCCCATCTTTAGACAACTTTCACTCTATTGATTTATTGATGTTTAATAATAACAGGGGAATATGTTTCAAGGGGAAACTGGATAGATGTCTGAAATGGAGTAATTTGACAGGTTAAATGGGACTGAATGGATTGCTCTTTCAAAGAGCCAGCACAGACGCAATTGACTGAATGGCCCTCTTCTGTGCTGTAAAGTTTAACTGTTTTAGAGATGAGAATGCTGCCACCTGAACCAAGTTGACCTCTTTATTTTCTCTTTTGATGACATTTATATTCAAGTAAACGATGTTTCCATTTTGAGCAGACGCGGTCAGCATCAATCATTGCCAAGTTATGTGTGGTATGGTTTAGAGTACAGTGCTCCTTGTACTCTAGGCCAACTTTGAACTTCATTCAATACTTTGTGGAGTGAATGAAGGTGTAGCATTTTCACTGAAGCTGGGGCAGTCCAGTATAGATTTTTGATGTGATTTCTAACGAGAATGTACCTTCTTGTAGGACTTGGCTGAAAAACACCAAAAGACGTTGCAGTTGCTTCGGAAATTGCAGACAATTATTCTAGACGACGAATTGATCCAGTGGAAACGACGTCAGCAACTCGCAGGAAATGGTGGTCAGTCTGAAGGTAGTTTGGACGTGCTACAGTCTTGGTAAGAACATTCAAAGAGAACCTTAGTTGGCAACTGTTGACTCTACCAATTCTAATAATTCTGGCATTTGATATAGCGCCTTATCACGCCTTCGAAACATCTCAAATTGCTTGGTTTGCCCTTTGCCTCTTACTTTAATCGAAGCGTTATTATACAGTAGTCAATGTTTGGCACATTGGCGTTATTTAATATTAATCACCAATTCTTCAAATTTGACTCCATAACCAGATGCTTAAATCTACCAAGCTACCTACCTGAGGAGACCCATTAAATAGTAAAATTTATGAAATCATGCTCTGAATTCAGGAGAAATTTAATTAAAGCTGCTTTAAAAAAAACTTCAAACCATGGTTTGCCCTTCGCCTGTTGCTTTAATTGATGCGTTATTCTACAGTAGCCATAGTTGTGAAAGTAAATGACTTGGGCAACAATAAAAAGGCAATTTTGACACTTCCGTGGTTGGAACTGTTGTACCTGTAGGTGTGAGAAGCTGGCAGAGACGATATGGCAGAATCGGCAGCAGATCAGGCGAGCTGAGCATCAGCGGCAACAGTTACCCATCCCGGGCCCTGTGGAGGAATTACTGACGGAGCTCAATGCAACAATTACAGACGTAATATCTGCACTAGTCACAAGGTCAGTAATTTTTAATAGAAGTGTGTGTGTGGGGGGGGGGGGGGGGGGGGGGGGCGGGAGAAATTAGGTACAAATCACAGTATCGAACCGCATCAGCCAACTTTGTTAAATTTACTTTAGACGCGTGTGGAGCAGGTGGATTGAGTACTATCACTTGAAATGTAAATGCTTGGTAAGTTGCTCCGATATGCATGCAGTTAAAATGTAAGAGTTGTTGTGTTTTCTGCCAATTGGCACATCGCAAAGACATTTGCTTAGCTCAGTGTTGACCTGGTAGAAATGATTAATCAAAGAACTGACTGAGTTTAAGATCAATGTTATAATAATAATAATAATCCTTGCATTTGATATAGCGCTTTTCACGTCGGGAGGACGTCCCAAAGCGCTTCACAGAACACACTGTAAAGTGAATTGACTGTATATTTGTGGGCGAACGTGGCAGCCAATTGCGCACAGCAATGTCCCACAGACAGTCGTAGATTGAAAATGACCAATTTATTATTGTTTTTGGTTTTGGAGGGATTATTATTAGGCTCTGTGTGGAGTAAGGAAACTTGCCCAAGGTTTCGCCCTCTGCCGGGAATTGAACTCAGGTCTCTCGCTTGCAAAGCGAGTGCTCTAACCACTGAGCTACAGGACTCCAAATGTTTCACTTTTCCTCTTTCCACACACATCACCTTCTCGCAGGATAACGATCGCAATAAATTTTTTAAAAGACTTCTTTTGGATGCTCATTTATCTTGCGCACAAATGTCAAATAAGAATCGATTTGATTTTATCGGTAAAGAAAAATTAATGAAAGATTGAAGACTATGCGTTGATCCTTTCAACATATCTGTAATTTAACTTAATTACATTTTGTAATATCAACACAACAATCCCATGGTAGCTCTTATTCTATCCCTGGGCATGAAAACTTGTGCTTGATTTATGAAAGTGCAAAGTAAGATCAGTCTGAAGAACAAATTGCGCTAAATATTTCTTCTCTAAACGTTCTGTCTTTACGCAGCACCTTTATTATTGAGAAGCAACCGCCTCAGGTTTTGAAGACCCAAACTAAGTTTGCAGCCACCGTGCGCTTGCTGGTAGGAGGGAAGCTGAACGTTCACATGAACCCACCCCAAGTCAAAGCGACCATCATCAGCGAGCAGCAAGCCAAGGCTCTTCTGAAGAACGAAAACACGAGAAAGTAAATGAACGCTAAACATTCTTAGAGATGAGAAAAACAGAACTGCTGGAAAGAGACACGTCAGTTGAAGAGGCCTTTCTGGTGCTGATTGACCAGCTGTGAATCTTCCAGCATTTCTGTTCCTGTTTCTTAATATCTCAGAATCATTTATTTGCTGAACTTTCATGCGTGATCTGGATACTGTTGTCACACTCTAATCTGGGTGGTTTACCACTTTCTGGGTTAACTCATTTCTGTTCTCTGGCAGTGACAGCAGTGGGGAGATACTAAACAACTGTTGTGTTATGGAGTATCATCAAGCCACTGGAACCTTAAGTGCCAATTTCAGGAATATGGTAAGCGAAAGCAAGCCTTTCAATGTGACTGAGTCGATCACAAAGGTGGTCGTCTCATTTTTTTATATCTTGTCGATAAGAAAATTTAATTCCGGCACATTCCTCAATCTTCACTCAAATCTTTACTGTTCCCCCAAGTCTCTGAAACGAATCAAACGCTCTGATCGACGTGGGGCCGAATCGGTAACGGAAGAAAAATTCACGATCCTTTTCGAATCGCAGTTCAGTGTAGGCGGGAATGAGCTCGTCTTTCAAGTTAAGGTACGTGTGGGTGCGTCATGATTCAGTGTCCCCAAAAAAATTGCACCCTTTAAACCGCGTGATTCCACTGCACACCAAACATGCATGTGATGCCATTCATTTTTTCTTTCTGGCAGACTTTGTCACTTCCTGTGGTCGTGATTGTCCACGGCAGCCAAGACAACAACGCTACTGCCACAGTCCTCTGGGATAATGCTTTTGCTGAGCCAGTAAGTTTAGTGATTGTACAAATGATGGAGAGCTCCGTGATCTCTGAAAATGTGTTTCATTGTCGGTTTATTCGCATTGGCAAGTGGCTTTTCATGGGTGGGAAATCGAGAAAATAATAGGCTACAGATTTTTTTAACACTGAATTGTGTTGTCGCTTCTCTGTTTGCGATCACAGGGTCGAGTGCCATTTGTGGTCCCTGATAAGGTGCTGTGGCCGCAGTTGTGCGAAGCCCTGAATATGAAGTTCAAGGCAGAAGTCCAAAGCAACCGAGGATTGTCGGAAGAAAACCTGGTGTTTCTGGCTCAGAAAGCGTTCAGCAGTTCAGGCATCCACGCAGATGACTACAATAATATGACCATCTCTTGGTCTCAATTCAACAGGGTAAGAATTCTGTTTATTCTCTCCTCTCTTGCAATTTTATCTTTTCCTCTCCTGAAGGCATTATGACTTTTTTTGTTTTCCCCTCAATTTGCATCATGCGCTCTCTCTCCCTCTTTCTTCCACATTCCCAATCCACTGTGATACTAGACGTTTGGCCCATAAAGTATACGGTCAATTCACTTTACAGTATATGCTGTGAAGCGCTGTGAAACATCTCGAAGACGTGATAAGGCGCTATAGAAATGTAATTTGTATTGTATGTCAAATACAAGTATTATTATTTGAGAGAATCTCTGAATTCTCAGAACATCTCACATACCAACACCCGTAAGCAACTGTGGAACTGCCCTTTTCATGGACCTATAAAGAGGGGCAAATTCAAATTAAATGCAATTAACTTATTAAAGATCAAGGAATGAATAGTTTTCTTTGGCGGTTAGGATATTACAGACATGATTGTAATCCTGCAGAGCTGTGACTGTATATTTGTTTATTCTCACTTGCTTTTTTCTTTCCTGTGCTTTTTTGCTACTTAAATATATTTAAACTTTTATTTCCAGGAAAGTTTACCGGGTCGAAATTTCACATTCTGGCAGTGGTTCGATGGCGTTATGGAACTGACAAAAAAGCATCTCAAGCCTCATTGGAATGACGGGTAATGTTTTTTTCCTCTTTGTAGAAATCATACGTTACAGTGACTGGATAACTAATCCCGAACGATGAGGTTTGCTAAGGGATCAAACAAAATATCAAATCCGGGAATGTGTTGGCCCCAATCTGCTGTAACTCCACTAGGATTTTGACATAACAGAGATTGAATGCAGATTGGTCTTGAGTAGAGTTTCAAAGGTTGCACAGTGCAGTTGGAATTTGTGGTTGGCATGCTTACTTCAAAGTGTTCTCGCTTGTGATTTGTAACAGGGCAATTTTGGGCTTTGTAAACAAGCAGCAGGCACAGGACATGCTCCTTTCAAAGCCAAATGGAACTTTCCTGCTGCGATTCAGTGACTCTGAGATTGGAGGGATTACAATAGCCTGGGTAGCTGATAATCCCAACAAAGCAGGTGGGTTCATCAGCACAAGGAAATGCATTTACATCAGAACTCTTACTTTCACACCAGCTGTTTAAGAATAGTCTCTTCAAACCTTGTGTTTGTGTGCGAACGTAAAAAGAAATGCCCTAATATTCGGTATGAACCGTCTTTACAATTCCTCTAAAAGCTTATAAGTATAACTTTCAGTTCGTGTCTCACACTTATTATAGAGCTAAAGCGCTAATTTGCAAATCTGGTCCGAATTCACACACTGACCCTTTATGAAATACTTTGCTTTACTAAATTTGTGAACCATCTGTTTTGGATGATGACCAAGCTTCAGTATGTCAAACGGCGATAACATTATTTTCTTTCCCCATGCAGGCGAAAGGATGGTTTGGAATCTGATGCCCTACACAACCAAAGATTTTTCAATCCGATCACTAGCGGATCGAATTAGTGACCTCAACCATTTGCTATACCTGTATCCAGACAGAGCCAAAGATGAAGTGTTTTCCAAATACTATACTCCACCATTATGTAAGTGCCAATTAGTTTCTTATTGTCCAAAGGCATATGGATGCACCACTTCTTTAGCATTCAAGGCTTTCAAGTGGTGGCATTTTGTTCACATCTGTTTATAGGTATGACTGATATTTATTACTATTTAGAATAATAGTGAAGTGGACTGACTGTGTGTTTTGTGGGCGAAACACAGCAGCCAATTACGCACAGATGTGTCCCACAAACAGTCATATTTGAGTTCTACATGCGCGCAGGCTTGCCATGTAGACTCAGCAACCTTGAGGGTTTTTATTTACCTGGGGATCCAAAGTTATTGACAGAACGGAAGAAACCCTGCAGCAGTTGTCAATTTAGAGCGAGTCGTTATTGCAACTAACAAATTCTTGATCCATAATATTTGAATACGTAATCCTTTCGATCAACATTGCTTCATAAATCAGATGTCCTTTAATTGTCCTGGCCAACAATCCCCTCAATTGGTCATTCACCCCGTGGCTGATGATGGGGCTTTGCAGGCACAAGTGCACAAGGTTAAGGCCCACGGGATTAATGGGAACATATTAGATGGATTGAAGAGTGGCTAACGGGTAGAAAACAGAGAGTAGGGATAAACGGGTCATTCTCGAATTGGCAGGAGGTGACTAGTGGAGTGCCACAAGGATCAGTGCTTCAGCCTCAGCTATTTACAATTTACATCAATGATCCAGACGAGCACATTGAATGTAACGTATCTAAATTCGCGGATGACACTAAACTCGGTGGGAGAGTAAGCTCTGAGAATGATGCAAAAAGATTGCAACGGGATATAGACAGGCGAGGGGAGTGGGCGAGTAGGTGGCACATGGAGTTTAATGTGGGGAAGTGTGAAGTCATTCACCTCGGTAGAAAAAATAGAAAAACAGATTATTTTCTAGAGGGGGAGAGATTAGATAGTGTTAGAGTGCAGAGGGATTTGGGTGTCCTTGTACACCAGTCTCAAAAAGTTAGTTTGCAGGTACAGCAGCAACGAAGAAGTTTTGGTCTCCTTATTTAAAAAAGGACATACTTGCCCTCGAGGGGGTGCAGCGTAGATTCACTCGGTTAGTGTCTGGGATGAGGGGACTGACCTATGAGGAAAGGCTGAATAAACTGGGGCTGTATTCTCTACAGTACAGAAGAATTAGGGGAGATCGTATTGAAACATATAAGATTCTTAAAGGGCTGATAAAGTAGACACTGAGGGTCTGTTTCCCCGGTGGGAGAATCTATAACCAGGGGTCACAGTCTTAAAATTAAGGGTCAGCCTTTTAGAACAGAGTTGAGGAAACATTTCTTCACTCAGAGGGCAGTGAATTTATGGAATTCACTCCCCCAGAAGGCTGTAGATGTCAGTCCTTGAACATCTTCAAGGCTGAGACTGATAGATTTTTAAAAAACAGGGATTAGGGAATATGGGGATAGGGCAGGTAATTAGCGTTAGGTCTGAAGATCAGCCATGATCTTATCAAATGGCGGGACACAGGCTCGAGGGGCCGAATGGCCGACTCCTGCTCCTAATTCTTGTTTTCTTATGTTCTAAGTGACTGCGGTGTTTGCCTGCAAAGACATTTCTTGCACAGTCAGCAATTATTTGTGAAGACCTTTGAGGTGTGTTGTCATGATCAAGTGCAATAAAAACCGAAATTCCTCTTTCTACCCCAATTAAAATCGAAAAAGCAGAGATTTACCTCAACTGTGCATTGTGTCTTGATGTTTTGTGTTTTCTTTGGTGCAGTGCGTAGAATGTAAAGTGTTAGTAACTCCTGCTTTTTCTTTTTATCCTTAACTAAAGCGAAAGCAGTGGATGGCTACGTAAAGCCACAGATCAAGCAGGTCGTTCCAGAGTAAGTAGGTTTCTGATGGCTTCTCCCCCCTCCCCCCCGCGCCCCCACCAAAGCAGTCTCTTTTATTCTGACCTCAATTAAACATATTCTACGGTTCTGCTTGCACACCATTACAAGATGTGTCTATATTGAATGTGTGTAGGAATGGCTTTGCAGTTATTCACCCATTTCTTCCTAACACCGTAACATCTGACCATTTGGATTTTCAAAATCGGAGGCGTTCAGCTGCGCTTTGTTCAATTGCACCTCGGAGCCAGCAGTAGTAGTAATTTGCTTAGAAGTTACTTCTAGTAACTAGAAGTAGTAACATCACAGCTTTGGTACAAAATGCCACAATTTTACATATTGATAGTGTGTTCCTGTTAATGTAGAATCAATATTCTTTCTTGTTATTGTTATAGATTTGCTACAGCATCATCTGACCCTGCCTCAGCCAGCAGTACATATATGGAACAAGCTGCCTCGCCTGCAGTTTGTCATCCACCACAGTTTCCCCTCTATTCACAAAAGTAAGCTCTTAGATTTCTGTTTGTCTAAGTGATGATCAAATTCATCACCAACAACAACTGGTATTGATATAGAGCCCTTCATGCGGGGTAACGTGCCAGAGTGCTTATCCATGTCCTTGCGAATTCCCATACCATATCTATATATGGTATGGGAACAGTGCTGTAGGACTTCCTCCCGTTGTGAAAGGCGCTATACAAATGTAATTCGTTTTGGTTATAGTTGGAATAATGTAGATTACATGCAATGTCGATGACACTGATAGCGTGGTTTGTTAGCACATCTAGCCTCTCGATCTTTGAGGTCAAATAATGAAAAAATCTATCCCTTTTTAGACAGTGTTTTATCTTAAAAAGATTGTTTTCAGAGAATATGAGGAGGAAGTGAAGCTTTGTCAATCAGATATTTGTACTTCATTGTCATTTCTACCAGTAGATGAAATCTTTATAATTCATACTTATTTTGCTCCTTCAGCCAAGACAGTATGCTTGATCCTGATGGCGAGTTTGACCTGGAGGACACGATGGATGTTGCTAGACATGTGGAGGAACTTTTGCGTAGACCAATGGATAATCAATGGCTCCCTCATCAACAGACATGATTCATTCCCCCCGCCCACACCACCCTCACACCAACCAGCTCACAGAGATTATGGTTTTATTATGGATTAATCCAGTCCATAGGTTGCTTTATTTCCGAATCATTCATAATGTGAACTGTTAATATTGATTGTGAATCTAATATTTTTGTGCATGTTGAGGCATCGCAAGTGTTTTTAAACTGTCTCGTTCGCTTGGAAGAAGGCTGCACTTTTGGAGACTGCAGCGTATGTAGGTATTTTCTGTTGTACAAAATGCAATTTGCTGTTTGCATGTTTTTTATTTACATTTTTCAGAGATTTTAGCTTTTGCTTTTTTTTTTGTAGAGCGCCCAGTACAATTATTTTTATTGTAGCCTCTCTTTTTTTTATTTCCCGAATCCATTGAAATTAATTCACTGCCCTCTCTCGTCATGAAGCCAGTCAGAGCTCTTTTGAGTGTCAAGTCCACATTTTAAATCATTTACTGGGATAGTTTTTTTTTGTGTATTCCTTTGTAAGGTTTGACTATTTGAACATTAGGTCATGACTGGTACAGAAACGCCAAGCTCAACATATGATGATTTTGCTCTTCAAATAACGGGCATCACACAGTGTTAGTAATACACTCAGGATGAGAAATTTGGGAGGGATAGTTTTATGATGAATATTTTCGTATCCCAGTGCCATTTTCTAATCTCCGCTTGTCTGTTGCATTGATCGTCTGCACAATTACTCTCAATCGAACTGCCCTCGAAAGAAACATTTAGTCTACAGTTTACACTCATTGGACAATTTCGGAGGAAGTTTTTATTTCATAGTCTGGATTGTCATGTCGTTCGTACAGTGAGTGCACAGAATGGGATCGTGGTCATTCCTTGTCCGCACTGAGCAAAATAAAGGCATATGCTTTTAAGGTGACTAGTTTGTGTTGTGTCAAAGTGCACAACCCTGCCTTGTTGCCCAGATTAAACCATACAAACTTGTTACCTTATAGCCCATAAGCAATTCTGGAAACATTTTGTTTTTCAAACTACTATAAAGTGTTTCTTGTAAAGCCTAAATACAATATTCTACAGAGAGGTTTGTTTTTAAAAGCTGGCACCTTACAGGTTATATTACTTTCTCATCTCATCGCCTCTTGGAATAATCTTAATTTGATCTGTGGTCCTGATCAAAGGCAAATCAACCCAGAAATCATACTGTGTTAAACACAGAAACAGGATATTTGGCTCATTGTGTCTGACCTTTCCTGGTGCGTTCCTCTGTTTGAGCCGCCATGTTACATCCCTCTATCCTCGCTCCTTGTTTCTCCTGAATGCCGAGAGATATGAATGGTGTTGGCGCAATATTGCCTTTTTCTTTTGGTTAGTCGGGTGTCTGATACATACGGAAACTCATCACTGTGAAGATTAACCAAAGCAAGCTGAGATTTCCATGCATCCCACCAGCACATCTGGTGAACAGCAATCACAGTGGGTAACTGTGACTGTCTCAACACTGACACCCAAGTGCTGGCTCAACAGTCTTGAGAAATGTACAAGGACTGAAAATTGGGTGTCGGAAAAGATCTAAATGTTGTGCTTTACTCCAGCAGTATTGCGGATGCAGTCTGAAAATTGTGCCACAAAAAAACCTCTTGCAGGGATTATTCCTGTCACGCATGAATAAAGGGATTTTCAAAAGAAAAGAAAAAAAATTGTTTTGCCTTAGGCAGCAACTTGATAATGTACGGGAATTGAGGGAGCGCTTGAGCAAGCATTTTTAATGATGGTTGTCCACTAACTGATGTGCGCTGTGTGCTCTTCGGGAATGTTAAACTCAGCCTGATTCTGGTCACATCACAGAGAATTTACCAGAACTGTGCAGATGTTTTATGTTGTCAGTTAACAAATGTACTTACCTTTCAAAATATTGACAAATCTACTTTATCGCATATTACTTATTTGTTCTCGTGAAATGTCTGGGCCTTCTGAGATGTTCCATCTTATTTTACAGTACAGGACCTCTGGTGATCTCAAAGTATAGTAATTTACAGCAAAAGACCAGCTTATTCTACGGCCGCACCATCTTTTACTATCTCTGGTAGAAATCCATATGTATCCACCTCTTCATCTTGAGGACTCCTCCATATGCCATGGGCCATCTCTCTGATTGCAAGCCAAACTGGACAAGCCTTTGGGAAAAATTCTACATATTATCTCAAACTACATGTAGCCCTGCTTCAATTATCTTCAGTTTCCAGCTGGCATCATACTCCTGTGTTTTTTAAAAAAAAAAAAAAGTTCATCTAGATATTTCAGTGATTACTGGTTTCCTAGCTCAGCCTGACCCCACTAGCTAACTTGGATAATGATCCACCGTTAACTTTGTGCCGTCTTCCACCCGCCCTCCCACCCCCCCACATTGTGACCAAATTGGATTGAGTGGTAAAATGAGTGTATGGTACGACTGTTGTGTAAATGCCAATCACAACAGCTGGGATAGAAAAAGGTTACCAAGCAATTGGACCGAAGGAAAATGAGTTGGTCACAAAACAGTTCTAGGTGGGCAATAGTCAAGGGAGTCAAATATGTGGTGAAGTTTAACTGGATTCCCACCAACCCATAGAAACTCTGGGCCATACGTCGATTAAATTGGACCTTGGCGTTCAAGGTTGGAATGACATACCTTTGTCCCAGAAAATAATAGTAATAATAAATTGGTCACTCAATCCACGACTGTTTGTGGGGACGCTGCTGTGCCCAATTGGCTGCCGCATTTCGCCCGCAAAACATAGTCAATTCACTTCACAGTATATTCTGTGAAGCACTTTCAGACGTCTCAAGAGTCGTGATAAGGAGCTATGTCAGATGCATGGATTATTATTGTGAATATTATTTTGTTCCTGGGATGAGTTACCATTAGCGAGTCTCTGACTTTGTCTCAATTAGAAAGCAGCTCTAAGGATGGCTCATCTAAGAAATTAAATTGTCACCAGTTAGGAAGGTAATCGTGAAGGGTTTGGATAAAGAAAGCCTCGTCTCCCTTTTTTCTCTATGCTCTGTCGAATACCAAATTATACCATCTCCCCAATGCAGTTTAAACAATTTCCTCAACGAGTCCTGTGTCCTCAAATCAACCAGTGAGTGTATTTCAGATACACTACTGTACAACCCATCATGTCAGTGGGCATCGGGTTAAGTCGGACAATTACTTCAGCTTTTTCCACTATTTCTTGCATTGCACTCTTGCGGCAAAGCCAAGTCCAGTTAAGTATACTTTCTGGAAGATTTTGTAGCTTCACACTAGTTCCCATCTACCTCGATAACATCACTTTTTTTTTTCCAGAACGGAGTGGACCTCTCCGAGGATGTTCACAGTGAAGCCCCATGTACAGTTGCTTGAATTTCAATCACTGGATAAATAGGCTCCTCGCTTACTGTGCTTTGTACAAATAAGCTCACTTTTACTTTGGTTTTTACTCATTGGACCTCAAATGTCCACTTCCTGGAGAAGTGTTGCCATTGGGTTTCTTTCAGTTTGCGGTCTGGCATCCTCCGGTCCAGCGATTGCTATTTTCCTTAGTGAAACTGAGCGAGTGTAAGAGATATAACAGTGTTCTTCTCCCTTCCTTCCCGCCCCCCCCCCCCCCCCCACTCCCCTACCAAACCACCACTAGGAGTATGGGCTGGAGTCCGACCAGCTGTTCATTTAAGATCTTGGAGGACCGTTTGTTAGACGGTCTGTCTGTATTCCTTGCACTCTTGGTTGCAGTGATCCGTTTATGGGGGGGGGTTGGTGGGGGGGGAAGACTGAGAGATAATGAAGGAGCAGTTGGTCAAGTTAAATCGGTCTTTGTGTAGCGCGAGAGCAACCCGCACGCGCGCACACTGTCGACGAGACTGGTATTTGCTCTGGGGAAACCTGCTACAAACCAGCGGGAAGGTTAAAATGGTGACGGTAACCGACTCCCACGTGAATTGTGAAGGGATTGGAGCACAAGTCTTGCGCGCTTGCAGATGCGACGATGACCCATCTTTATGTGGAAGATGTCTCACTTTATTTCAAGATGGCGACAACAATTAGACTTATCGTTTTTGTCTTCTAAATCCGTTTTGCACTTAACGTCCAGCCCAGAGCAAGTGGTGTAATTAAGTGTATATGTTATCATTGTAAAGTTGTAGGGGGGGGGAAAAAAAAACCCAATGGATTTTACAGTCTCTTACTCTGATCTCACTAATGCAGTAAAGATAATATTTTTGGATGGGTCATCTAAATTGTGTAGTATTTGTTCATCATGTTTATGCTGTGCACACTATGAAATGATACAGAATTAACACTGGCAATTTTATAGTTTGCTTTGGTAATAAATTCATAACAAGTCAGCTGTTTATTTTTACAGTGCTTTCATCAATTTAGTTACAAAAAAAAAAGCCCTATTGTAATAAAATCAAACAAATAAACATTTACAATCTAAGGGTTCGTTCGTTGGACAAGTATGTAAGTCTGTTTATAAAGCTTTACCAGTAAATTGATTTATTTTTTAACTACCTCTTGGTTGTCTACACTTCTCTCGTCCACGAATCTAGTTATATCCGAGCTCCAGTCAGAAAAACCCAGAGCTTTCTCAATTTTGAACAGTGTATTTTTTCTTTTTAAAAAAGGTTCGGTCGGGTTTTGAACTGCGATGGATATTTGTAACTACGTGTTTGTTTAATTATGAAAACGTGCGAAAAACATGTCCCATACGTATGGGACACAGCGTGTCAAATGACTGCCAGGATGGTGGAAGGCCAACTAGATGGTCCTTGGTCTTCTTTCGTCGAGCAAATTCTTAACGTTCTTACCTACAACGTTTTATTCATCGTTCGCTATTTTGGTTTGCCAGGAGCGCCCGTCGTGCAGGACAGTGTCTCGAAGCGCTGAACAGTGGAGTTTTGAGGCACTTTGACTGCAAAGCATTGCCGAAATGTAATTTTTCTTTGAACTTAATATTTTCAGAAGTATTCCCCTTCTCTCCTCAGCCCCATATGTGACGATCCCCTAACGGGGATTTGGTCTTTAACAGATTATTCCTTTGATCCACGTTTACAGGTCAGATTCTAAACGTAAGCATCTGGTAGCCCCAATCCTCCCGCCATTTGTCGCTGTAACTTAATTGAGATGCAGGAATTTCAAAAAAATAAATGTTTAATTTCTCTGAAATGAGTACTTAAGAGGCAAAAGGTTTAGGAGATGACAAATCGTCACGGGAATTAATGATCCTTTGCTGTATCACCAATTATGAATCATTTTTGGGGGGTTTTGCGGTCAATAGAAATGGGTTAATCCTCTCCGGTACAATAGTCGAAACAAATAGGCTTTGTCTGTCGAACTAATATAACCGCATTGAAACCTACATTTTCTGATGAGGGACCTTAAGCTTGTGCAATGGGACAATTTGATTTTCCGTTAGACTATCCTTGCGTTTGGTACCTCGCCTCATCACGACTTCGAGGCATCTCGAAGCGCTTCACCGGATAAACTGTCAAGTGATTGTTTTGTGGGCGAACACAATAATCTGTGCTGTACGCTAAACCCGGGCTGGCTGGGGACTAATTGAAGGGTAATTCTGGATCCCCGGAGTCCGGTATTTACTATATTCCCTGATTTCTTGTCAAGGAATGGCGATGCAGTTACGAAATAAGAGCCCGGATTTCTTGGGCGCAATCGCCCAACGGTTGAGCACCTCCACCGAACGAGGGCGTGAGGGTCTGGCTGCGTTGGTTCTAATTGCGATCGGTTTGCAAATAACCGGGAAACCGGGAACTTGAGGTTCGGTTCCACTGTTTTCTATTTCGAAGGGTTTACGGGAGATTTAGCAACAGGTGTGGGGGTTGGAGGGGGAACACGGCCTTCGATTTACTTCTTTTTATTAAAAAAAGAGAGGATCAAAAAAAAGCCTGTATGCCCGACGGTCATTACGTAACCCTCGAAGAGGGTTGGACTCTTTTTTTTAATTACGTCAAATAAGCGGTTTATTCTTTAAAAAAAATAACAATAAAGCGAAGCGAATCATAATCTGAAATAACCCTGGCGTTTAATACAGCGCCTCATCACCTCGTTGAGACGTCGCGCTGTTGATATTACTGTGCTGTCAGGTGGATTGACCGTATAATTTATTGGTCGCTTATCAAGTTCCCACCTGTGGGACCCCAGTGTTTGTACTGCAGTTCGTTTCAATCAAAGTCCATTTTGGGGAGTCCTGTAGCTCGGCGGTTAGAGCGCTCAGCGGTTAGAGCACTCGCCTCGCGAGCGACGGACCTGGGTTCGATTCCCGGCAGGTCGGGGTGAAACTTTGGACGAGTTTCCTTACTCCGCGCGCCCTCGAGAAGAAAGAAAAATAACAAAACCAGTCCTTTCAACGCGCGACTGTTTGTGGGGACGCCACTGTGCGCAAATTGAGCTGCCGCTTTCCGCCCGCAAGCGTTCACTTCCCGGCACGTCCTGCGCAGCGCTTTTGAGACGTCTCTCTCTCTCTCTCGGAAGACGTGATAAGGTGCCGTATCGAACGCCAGGATTATTATTACTATTACTATTATTATATCCACTTACATTCGAAAGTTGCTGTTGCACGTTTTCGTAAGCAAAACAGGACTCGTTTACGGGCGCGAAAGCTGTTGCGAAATATAGCAATGATTAATGATAATTGTTGTAAAACAATAATGATTCCTGGCAGTTAGTTAGATAAGCGCTCAGCTGGTTCTTTGCTAAGTGACCGTTAAGGTTAAGGTATCCCAAGTTTCGGTTTGTGTGCGTGTGTGTGGAGTGGGGGGGGGGGGGGTGGTGTGCGGGGTGTGGGGGGGAGGGGGGGAGCTGGCAAAGGAAGGAATTAGCCTGCTGTTTAGCAGGAATTAGCCTGTGCTTCCGGGATCAACAAGTTTTAAGTGTCTGCTGGGAGAGGAGGGTTTGCGGGCGGGCGGGCGGGCGGACGGGGGCAGTGGGGTGGTGGGGGGGGGGGGATGGGATGGAGGGGGAAGACTTTGACAGAGCTGAAGTCAGAAGATGATGGGTGAACTTCTGCCGAGAAACGGCGAGTAATAAAGTGGCTGGAGGGAGGGAGGGAGGGAGGGAGAGGAGAGAGAGAGACGCTCACACTCTCGCACTCTTGTCAGTTTGCAGATACACTGGTTATGTAATTTGTTGCTCGAGGGCTTGACTTCCCAGCACCGGCGTTGCTACGAACTGCAACCGGTTCAGTTGTATCCTGTTTAAGAAAAAAAAATATATATATATAATATATAATATATAATATATCTCTACAAGGTGCGTTTTCTTTCTTTTAAAAGCCTAACATGTTATCAGTTGCATTTGCTAACGTTTCTGCCCTTCCCCACCCACACAAACACAAATGTGATGTATGATCAGAAAGCTTTGCGTGGGTAAGATTTTATTTTTTTGTAACACAGGAAAGGATTCATAACTTGTATTTTTTTTTTCGGGGGGGTGTGGGGGGGTAAGTGTGTGTGTGTGTGTGTGGGTCACGTCAGGTCTCTTTTATGGCATTGTTTTTCTTGTGGAATATTTTTTTTATCTGTATGTATGTGAAAAAGAAAGTGTCTGCTTTGGGAAGAGCTAATGGACCCCGTCAGGCGTGTCTGGTTCTATTTCAGGTCGAGTTCGATGATGAGAGCCGAAAAGGAGTTCCTCATTTGAGCAAACATTTTTTTTTGTGGGGTGGGGGTGGGTGTTCTGAACTCAGTTCCCTTAACAGGGCCGTGTTCCCGTATTACGGGCCACGTGAAAACAAAACGTGTTATCAAACCCATAAGCTCTCTGCAAACCGTCCTGAAAGCAGATAGTTTCCCCACCACCCCCCCCCCCCCCCCACACACACTTGTGATTGCTGGTACTGGGAAGGGGAAAAGGGGAAGAGCAAAGAATGCTGTCAGGATTGCGTCAGAAATTATCTCACGGTCCACACTCCTGATAACCCGGTTGTTAGTCGGCGGGCCGATCGCTTTTCCGGGCGGTGGGGGGGTGGGTGGTGGTGGTGGGGGGGTGACGATCCCTTAGAAAAATGATAATAATAATTTGGTCACTCAATCCACGGCTGTTTGTTGGGGGGGGGGACGGCGCTGGGCGTAAATCGGCTGCCGCGTTTCGCCCACACAAGTACGCCGTGCGCTCCGCTTTACAGCGCGTCCCGTGGAGCGCTTTGAGACGTCTCGGAGACCTGATAAGAAGGCGCGGTATCAAATGTGTGGGTTATTATTATGATGATGATGATGATGATGATGACGATTGACAGTCCCGGCTGCGTCGAGGACTTGTGTCGCCACCTGCCAGCGCAATTCAGTTTGCAGATCGATTGCTATTAGGTGTGTGTCGGCAGATGCTGGTCGCTGAGCTGCTGCGGCTGCTGCTGCTGCTGGGCGGGCTCCTGAGCCTGGGGGCGTTGGCGTGGCTGTGGCTCGGGGTCGGCCACCGGCCCCCGAGCAGTCGGCGGAGGTCCTTGACCGACCTCTTGAGCCATTACGCGGCTGCGAGAGCCGTGAGCGCCCTTGGCCTTTGGCAGCGTCGCAGGCTGGAGTCGGACACCAGGAACGTCCAGCGGGCGCAGGATGACACCCTCCTACGTCGCCTGCGCAGCAGCCGGGGCACGGAGTACGGCGCGCTCTACCGCTTCCGGGAAATCGCAGACCGCCAGGCGTTCCGGAGGCTTCACCCCCTGACCCGGCACGGCCATTATCAGCGCTACGTCGAGCGGGTCGCCCTGGGGGAGCAGAACGTCCTGACCTCGGAGAGACCCACCTTCCTCGCCCCCACCGCGGGAACCTCAGACCTCAGCGGCCTGATACTGAGCACCAACGCCACCGCCAGAGAATTCTTCCTGCAGGTAATTCTGAAAGGAAATAATTCTTTCTTTCTCTCTCTCTCTCTCTCTCTCTGTCTGTCTGTCTGTGTCTCTCTCTTTCTTTCTCTCTGTACCAAATGCGAGGATTATTCTTGTCGCGGTGCGGTAATAAATTGTGTCGCTCAATCCACGGCTGTCTGTGCGGGACGTCGCTGTGCGCAATTACCTGCCGCGTTTCGCCCACAAAAAAGCCTTACAGCCTATTCCTGTGAAGCGCTTTGAGACGTCTCGAAGACACGATAAGGCGCTGTATCAAATGCGAGCGTTATCATTGTAATAACTCACGCAGCGCTGTTCCTTCCCCGCAGGGCGTCGCGATCTGCGTCAACTCGATGCTCAAAGCCTACCCCGGGACCGGAAGCTTGCAGAAAACCTCAAAGTTTTTCCACGCTCCTAAACATCGGCGTTCGGAGTCGGGAATCCCTATCGGTCCGGACTCCTCGCCTCTCGGCGCCTGCAAGCGTCTGCTCAGCCTGTACTCCACGCCTCCCGCGGCGCTGGAGATCGAGACCGAACCGGAGGCACTTTACGTCCACTTGCTCTTCGCTCTGAAGGACCGGAAGCTCGGGACCCTGGAAGCCAACTCGGCCGCCACCATTTGCTACAGTTTCGGGTTCCTGCAGAATAAATGGCGGGAGTTGATCGAGGACATCAGGCTGGGGAGGTTGAGCCCCGAGCTGGACGTCGCTCGTGGCGTCCGCCTGAAGCTCGACGCGAGGCTGAAGCCGGACCCTCGGCGGGCGACCGAGCTGTCCGCGGAGTTTGAGCGCGGCTTTGGCGGGATCGCCCGGAGAGTGTGGCCCCACCTCAACCTCCTGCTGGCGGTGGATTCGGGCTCCAGCGAGCTGTACGGGAATCTTCTCAAACAGTCCTACTGCCAAGGCCTCCCCGTCTACTCTCCAGTGTACGCAGCCACCGAAGGTAACGTGGGGGGCCCTCTAGGGTAGCGGTCAGAGCGCACGCCTCGCTAGCCAGAGGACCCGGGTTCGGTTCCCGGCCGGGTCCGGGCGAAACTTAAGGCAAGTTTCCTTACTGCACGCACCCAGCAGTAAACGCTTCAATCCACGACTGTTTGTGGGGACGCCAATCTCTCTCTCTCTCTTCTTTCTCCCCCTCTCTCTGTCCCTCTGTACCGCTCCCCCCCCCCCCCCTGCCCAGGTCTGATTGGAGTGAACCTGTGGCCAGAGAAAGAGGAGCGCCGTTACCTGCTCTGTCCGCGATCGATGTTCTGTGAATTTATTCCGGTTGACCTTTGCGACGAGGAACGACCACAGACGCTTTTCATGGACCAAGTGAAAGCAAACGAGTTGTACGAGCTGGTCATCACCAATGCCTCGGGTTTGTACAGGTAGGAGTTGTCGTTGCATTTGATATAATAATAATAATAATGTTAATAATAATAATAGCGCCTTAGCACTTCGTTGAGACGTCTCAAAGCGCTTCGCAGGACCCACTGCAAAGTATTTTGTGGGGCCAAACGTACCGTTAAAAACTGGCAAATTAAATCGAATTAAAATCCCTCGAAAACCCTCCTCCTCCACCACCCCACCACCCCCTCCCCTTCCTCCTCCCCCCACCCCAGCCCCTCCACCCCACCCCAGCCCCGACCCCAGCTCGGATCTGAAAGGCCGATCGCTGTCCAGCGCCTTGGGACGTCCTCCAGGCGCGAAAGGCGTTAACACACACGTGATCTTCTTCTTGTTGTTGTTGTTGTTGTCGTTGTTGTCGTTGTTGTCGCCGCCGCGGTGGGCGCAGTTCCCTTGTTCCGCCACGAGGTGATGCTGAGACACACGTTGTGTTCGCTCGGCTCACAGCACGTGAGACCTTCTGTCCCGTTGTAAAGGCTCTCTTTCCCTTTGACGTCGTCTCCCACTTTCTTGCCTTCCCGCAGGCGGGGAACGGGGAGGTGGTCGGTGTGGGGGGCGCGGGGTGGTGGTGGGGGGGTGCGGGGGGGGGTGCGGGGTGGGGGGCAATCGTGCGGGTTTCCCTGGCTGAGGTGTGCGTCCTTGTGCTTTTTTAGATACCGCTCGGGAGATGTGATAAAAGTGGTGGAACTCTACCATCAGTGCCCGGTTGTCGAATTCAAGTACAGGTGCGTAGCTTTGCTTTGCTTTGCTTTGCTTTGCTCGGTCTGTCTTCTTCTCACGCTCAGCGTTTTGGCGGACGCCTTGCTCGGCCAAGGGCAACGGGACAGGAAGGCGATCGGGCAATTCTTTGGTGTTCCAGCCATGCCGCTCGCACGTGGAGATTTCCCTGTGGAAGGTGCAATCTCTCTTTCTGCTCCCCCGCCCCCCCCACCCCCTGTATGGTTTGGGACGCGACCTGTCAAGCCCCTGCCAGGATGGTTGGAAGGCGAACTGGGATGGACCTCGGTCTCCTTTCGCCCGGCATGTTCTTATGTTCTTCCGTGACCGCTCTCTCTCTCTCTCTCTCTTTCTCTCCCTCTGGTGACCGCTGTTACCCTTTGCCCGTTCGATGATCAGGTTGGGTCAGACGCTGAACGTCAGGGGCGAGAAGATTTCGGAGGAAGCGTTTTACCGAACGCTACAGAACGCCGTGCGGATGTGGTCGGGGGTTGTGCTGCTGGATTACTGCTGCGCGGAGAGTGGGCTTTTGGGTGAGAATCATAACTTTCGAGGCGGGGGTCGGGGGTGTTGTGGGTGGGAATAACCCCACCGCCCCAAAATAAATGGTCTCTTAATCCATGACCGTTTGCGGGATACTGCAGTGAAGCACTTTGAGATGTGACACTTTCCCTCTCCCTCCCTCCCTTCCAAAAGAAACTTCAAGACCGAGCGATCTTTGGTAAAATAATCAATAATAATAATAATGCGGTCACTTCAATCCACGGCTGTTTGTGTCTGTGTGTGTGTGTGTGCGTGTGGGGGGGGAGACGCTGCTGTGAGCAATTGGCTGCTGCGTTTCGCCCACAAAACACACCGTCAATTCACTTTACAGTTTATTCTGCGAAGGCGCTATATCAAACCGCAAGGATTATTATTATAAGGCATTATAACAACCGTATGGCGTAGTGCGTGCAAATTGCCTGCAAAACACACAGTAAATTGACAGCCAAGTCCCCGTGAAGTACTTTAATCTGTTTTGACGTTGCGGGGCACGGTGTCTGGTGCAAGGACTATTATTATTCTAATGACGCCGTTGAATGCCCAAAAAACAAACGATGGTGTTTCTCGGTTGACGACGCACGTAAAGATGATTGCTTTCTGCCCACAGGCTCCAACTGCGGGAGCTCAGACCCTCATTACGAGGTGTTTATCGAGGTGAAGGGGGTGAGGAACCTCACGGAGGAACAACGCTGCAAGGTGACAAGTTTCTTTTGCTCGAACGCTGCCTCTAAGAACGGCGACGGAGGCGCAAAAAAATGCAGCAGAGAGAAAAAAAGACTTAACCTCGCCCTCCCTGCCCCGCCACAACCCACCCCACCCCACCCTGACCCACCGCAACCCACCCCCCCCCCCCCCCCGCACGCTCAGGTTCAAATCCCTCGACTTGTCCAGCGCCTTTTTTTGCGACGTCCTTTTTTTGGGAGGGGGGGATCGCGCTGACGATCCCTCTCCTCGTGGGCTCGTTGTCGAGACTCCGCCACCGTGAAGCGCTCCGGGACGCTACCCCACGTGAGGGGCGCTGTAAACGTATGTTGTCGTCGCCGTTGCTGTCATTGTCGTCGCTGTCGTCATTGTCGTCGTCGTATTCGTCGTCGTTGTTGTCCTTATTGCCATTGTCGTCGTTGTCGTCGTCCTGGTCCTCCCTCGGCATGAAAGCCGCTGCGTAAATGCCGTTTGGTCTCGTACTGACCGGTTTCCGGTGCCTGTTTCCGCAGCTGGACCAGTGTCTGCAGGAAGATTCCGCCGTCTACAAGTCCTTCCGCCGCAAAGGCAGTTTGGGGCCGGCGAGGGTCCACCTGGTGGCCAGGGGCGGCTTCCTGGATCTCCGCCTCTTCCTGATGGGCCGCTCCGGGCGAGCGTGCGACCCCTTCGCGACGGACCGTCTCCTCCGCCGCGGAAGCCTGGTGGACTTCCTTCGACGCAAAGTCGTTCCGTGAAACGAGACTCAAACGGCTCGTCGTCCCCCTCACACTCCCCCACCCTCCCCCCCCCCCACCCCACCCCCGGTGGCTTTTTTTTTATTGGGTGAAGTCAGGAAGTGGGGGAGGGGGGAACTTTCCAGAGCTGCGCCGGCCGGAATCAGAATTAAACCAAGACTTGACTCAACTCAACGCCACTTACGCCCTCCTCAACCCTCGATCGGTCTCCCCCCCACCCCCACCCCCCACCCGCCCTTTACGCCCGCTGAGGCTCAGCGTTTAGCTCACAAACACACGCGCAGTCACTACACTTCCGCTTCACGGAGAAGGGGCCGGGTATTAGGTCCGACGATGACAAAGACACATTACATTTACGCGGCGCCTTTCGCGCGGGGAGGACGACCCAAAGCACTGGGAGGCCGAGAGTTTGGGCCCGAGCCGGGGTGTGGGGGGTGGGGGTGTGGGGGGGGATGGAATCAGGAGGGCGGGGGGAGGGTGGGGTGGAGGCGTTGGGGCAGGCGGTTGACCGAAGGGGTGGTTGGTCGAGGAAGAAGGTCTTGAGACTGTTTGGAGAAGTCAACCTCACGTGCTCAGTTCGACCTCCCAACAGCTTATCGTGTTGGTCGGTGGAGGTATCTGTGGATGCATCGGCCGCAGAGAAGTCGGGCACATGTTTATCACGACGACAGCAACAACTTGCATTTCCATAGCGCCCCTCAGGCGTCCCAAAGCGCTCATGTTCATCAGCGGAAAAGCCAGCAAACCTCCAGCCGGGGAGCAGCCGAGGGCAGGTGTTGCTTCACTTTAGCTAACCGTGGTTTTACGGCTGTGCGCAATCGTGTGGCAACACTTAAAGCTGCTGCGTTGGCCTTTCCTTTCGTCTCGAAACTCCTTGTGGGTTCTAGCGATCCCTCTTGTTCCAACCAACGCAGCCTGAGGATCCGGGTCCGATTCCCGGGCGAAACCTCGGGCAAGTTTCCACCCTCCGCGCGCACTCAATAACAACAACAACAAGATTCCATTTATAAAGCGCCTTTCACGTCAGGAGGACGTCCCAAGGCGCTGCACAGGTGGGTCGTGACTCGAGCATTGGGGGGAAATGGTCAGGGTGAGGGGAGGGAAGGGAGGGAGCGAGGAGGGGGAAGAGAGTCGAGAGGGGAGCTGAAGGCTCGGTCACTCCTCTGTTTACCCGGCAGCGAGTAGGAACGCGGCTGTTAGGTCGATTGGCGGTCACTCGATCCACGGCTGTCTGTGGTGCGGACGCCGATCGGCTGTGCTCAATTGGCTGCCGCGTTTCGCCCACAGAAATACGCGGTCAATTCACTGCGCGATGCGTTCATTCTATGAAGGACTTGTGAGACGCCTCAATGACGTGATAAGCGGCTGTATCATATGCGAGGATTATTATTATTATTATTATTATTATGTGGACATCCGATTCCTGTGAGCGGTGGTTGCTGTGCGATTCTCTTATTTGTGCCTTATGCTCCACTCCCTGAGTTTTTACAATCCAACGGCATTTAAGGTCAAAGTCACAACTCAACCGTTTAAGCTTTGACCCCCCCCCCAATATAGAATGAAGTTAAATACTTTCTGGTTGGCTGTGAAGTATAAGGGTCGGGTTACTCAGTAACCCAACATGTCTGCATCTCCGTCTTACATTGAGCTCCTCCACCTCAGCTCAATCCATTTTTACTTAACCGTTGATTCCCTGATATTAAACTCCGAAGAGATTCAACTCTTCGTGACTATTTTACCTGTGTGCGAGTGAGTGTGTGTGTGTCCGTGTGCGTGTGCGGTGCGCGTGTTGCAGTCTGCAAAGTGCCTACCGCGTTGGCCTACAAAATACAGTCACTGCACAGTAATTCCTGTGATGTGTGCTTCGAGACAACCCAGTGACGCGATAACATCTGATACTAATCGTACTAATCTTTGCACTTGACACAGAGCCTAACTAGTCACGTTGCTGAGACGCCTCAAAGCGCTTCGCAGGGTATACTGTAAAGTAAACTGACTGCATTTTGTGGGCGAGATTCGACCCGTCAACTGCGCACATCGGTGCCCAACAAACAGTCGTGGTTTGAGTGACTAGATTTGTTTTTTAAAACACAAGATTATAAAAAGATAAAACTAGATTTATAGCCCGCGGAGAGCGTATAAAATAATATACTTCATCCGGAAAATAGGCAGTCACTTCACTTTGCAGTGTATTATTCTTGGGAGACATCTTGGAAGACGGAGTGATAAGGCGCTGTATCAAATGCAAAGATTATTATTGGTATTTTACGCCAACAATTGCTTGCTTGCCCTTTCATTCTCATGTTTTGCTCACCTTGTTGCTCTTATTTTCCATCAGATTATTTTCTCAGTTTGCAGCTGAGTTGATTGCACAGCCCTTTTGAGTCCCGTTTATCATCCATCTGTGGTTGTGAGTTTACAGTAACTCTAAACCAGAAGATTCTGCTAACTCCCCCCCCCCCCACCCCAAGTTGAGTGAACGCGGCAACGTACACAGTCACGTAGCCAACAGTGCCGACAGGAAACGCATCAAACTTTGGATCTAACCTAAATCTTTTAAGGACCAAAGATCTTAAAAAGCCTCGTCTTGTCAATCCCATCTCTTCCCGGGTGGAAAACGCCTAAGGGACGGAAACCCAGCGGCGTTTGGAGCCCACTTCAAAATGCCGTGGCACAAGCAGTCGTGGGGACCGAGCGACCGAACTACGATTCATAACAAATCATCCTTGTGTTTGGTGTCGCGCCCGATCACGGCGTCGAGACGTTGAGAATGGATCCGACCTCTTTAGTGTTTCAGTGCAGTTTTGTGCGCTTCAGTCCGGTCGCCTCTCGGAACCTATTAGCCACAGACTCTTTTCCCCCCCCTCCAGGGACTGCGGAGTCTGGACTGGTTATGACAGGGTCTGAGTGAGCCAACAATTAACCCGCGTTAATGGACGGGGGAGTGGATTATAATTAATCACGTGGCTGTGTCCGAAAGGTAGGGCTGTCCTGCGTAGACCTGAAGATGCCGAGACCGAGTGAGTGGTGACTGCTCAAACCTCTGGCCGGTGCACTGTAACCCCTCGCCACAGCCCAGCGTACGTTACAGCGTTAAAAGTGAAACTCCCTCACAGCTGTTTGAGCCGCTCACTCCTGTTTGTTCTTTGCAAACAGCCGCAGATGTTGGGTCGAAAGTCCCGTCTGAAACCCGCCAACAAAAAGAAAGCTATGCGGGTTCTCCCTTTCTCGCTCTTTCTCGCTCGCTCACTCACTCACTCCTCAGTGACGTTGTCTGGAGTCTAGACTTCAGAACCAACCCTGCGTTAAACCTTTCCAGCTGTTGCTTTTTTTTTTTTTGGTTGGTTGGTCAGCCGGGTGTCCGATCCACGAGCGGAAACCCGTCAGCGTTGCTCACGGAGTTTCCAAACCACGTCGAGAATTCCATGCGTCCCACCTACACATGGAAATCCCTACGCTCTCTCTCTCTTTCTCTCTCTCTCTCTCTCTCTCTCTCACTGGAGGGGTTTTGGACAACCTATAGAGAGGGCAATACGGAACGGTTTCCCCTACGGTCTCATTTAAAAAAAAACGCGCCAATTAGTTCGGAAGAGAGAGCAACGGAGGTTTAAGTACTTGTGGCCACATTTATATAATCATTCAGAAACGAACTAGAGTTTGCGCTACAGTGACTCGGAAGATCCTACCCATTCATTGTGATAACATAATAATAATCTGCGTTTGATAGAGCGCCTTATCACGTCTTATCTCAGCGGTTGGAGCGCTCGCCTCGCAAGCGAGAGGCCCGGTTCGATTCCTGGCCAGGACGAAACCGTGACCAACTCTCCTGACTCCACACGCCTGATAATATTGCCTTGAGAAAAAAAAACCATACTGATAACAAATTGGTAACTTCAAACCACGGCTGTTTGTGCGGGGGGACGCTGCTGTGCGCAATTGGCCGCCGGGTTTCGCCCAGAAATATACGGTCAATTGACTTTACAGCGTATTCTGTGAAGCGCTTTGAGACGTCGAGAAGATGTGATGCAGCGCTGTATCAAATGCAAGGCTTATTATTATTAATTTTATTATTATTATTATTATTATGTATTATAAGTGTGTCCATTTCCAAGCAGTGAATACACACAACACAACACACATACACACACACTTTGAGATGTTTCGGTGTCACAGGCGCTGTATCAAACGCGAGAGTTATTTACTCAACACTCAGCGAGATAGAATCTCACAGCACGGAAGGAGGCCATTCGGCCCATCGTGCCTGTTGCCGGCTCTTCGAAAGAGTTACCCAACTAGTCCCGCTCCTCCCGCTCTTAACCCCCATAGCCCCGCACATTTTTTTTTCCTTTTCAAGTACAGTTTCACCCACGAAACACCCCACACAGTCACTCTACGTTACGGTGTATATTCCCGCGAAGCGCTTTGAGACGTGATAAGGCGCTGTATCAAATGCCGGGTTTATTATTATTATTATAATACCACTTTTATTAACCGCAGTGTGACTGAACAATTAGCGTGTGGCAGATCATAATAATAATAATAATAATAATAATCCTTGCATTTGACACAGCGCCTTATCCCGTCCCCGAGACGTCTCAAAGCGCTTCACACGATAGACTTCAAAGCGAATTGTCTGCATATTTGTGGGCGAAAGGCGGCTCAGAAACAGTCGTGGATTGAAGCGACCGATTTATTATTGTGGGTTTTTTTTTCCCTTGAGTGATTATTATCAGGGGCGTGCGCGTGGAGTAAGGAAACTTGCCCAAGGTTTCGCCCCGACCGGACCCGCCGGGAATCGAACCCGGGTCCTCGGAGGGAAGAGAACCCGCGAGTCCCTTATTCCAAATAATTGTCATGCAAATTGCGCGCTGGTGTTCCTTATCGCGTAATCCGTCACGATTCAGATCTCGTCCCCGTCTCTGAGCTTCTTACGCGCCCCCCGTTGCCCCCCGTTCGAGCAGGTCAAAGGCGTTATTAGCCCCGGAAGGCGACTCCCCCCGGTCGACTAACAACCTGATGGGCCGCTGTACGGAACCGCAATCGATAACTCGCTGCGTGGCACCGTATTCGTGTGGGAACAGAATTCAACGCTGTTTAAAATATTACTCATCAGATTAGTGCCGTTAACGCACACGCGCACACACACACGCACACACACACACACACACGCAGAGTGACAGCCGCAAGTGATGTGATTTGGGCCAGAAACAAGGAGTGACGGACGGGGGTGGTGGGGGGGGGGGTAAAGCTCACAGCGTCAACTGATCCTTGTAATGAAACATCAGTGTCAAATAATAATAATAAATAAATAATAATAATACTTACACACGCTGATGTTTGTCAATTTAACCCAGTTTACACGTAAAAGTATATATGTATATATATATATATGTACGCGTGTTTGTATATATATATGTATGTACGCACGCCTGCGCGTGTGTGAGAGAGAGAGAGTGTATATTTACTGAGAGAGGCGAATAAAATCAAGATTTTTTTTCAAATTAAAAAAAAACACCTGAGATACGATAAGATCGTTCCGCCCGCAAACATATACAGTCACTCCATTTTACAGGGTATCCCGTGAAGCGCTTTGAGGCGTCTCGCTGCTGCGATGAGGCGCAGTCTCAAATGCCGGAGTTTATCATCACGATGTGCCATAACTGCCTCACGGAGTACACTGCGAAGTACGCGCACGCGATGTGTATTTTCTCTCGCGGGCGAAGCGCGGAAGCCCACGGACGAGTCGAGGTTTGAAGTGACCCGAGTTATCGATTATTGCTATTATTTGTTTTATTTTTCGTTATTATGGTTATTATGATGGGTTTTTTTTCAAAAAAAAATTTAAATTATTATTTGCGGCCGCAAAGGGCATGGGTGCCCCCACCGCCCCCACCGCCCGAAAAAAAAAGGCTGTGGGAGTTAATCTGGAGGCGGGTGTGGGGTGGATGTGGTTCTATTTGAGACCTGAGAGAAAAAAAGAGGCGTTGTGTGTATATGTGTATATGTGTATATGTGAGAGTCAGAGAGAGAGAGATACAGAACAGGTGTGTAGTATGTGTGTGTGTAGTGAGGGTGTGTGTAGTGTGTGTGTGTGTGTAGTGGGGGTGTGTGTAGTATGTGGGGGTGTGTGTATGCATGTGTGTGTATAGTGGGGGTGTGTGTATGTGGGGGGGTGTAGTGGGGGTGTGTAGTGTGTGTGTGTGTGTGTAGTGGGGGTGTGTGTAGTATGTGGGGGTGTGTGTATGCATGTGTGTGTAGTGGGGGTGTGTGTAGTATGTGGGGGTGTGTGTATGCATGTGTAGTGGGGGTGTGTGTATGTATGTGTGTGTAGTGGGGGTGTGTGTATGTATGTGAGTGCATGTGTGTGAACCAACAAGGAAGTAAGGAACACACACACACACACAGACAGACAGACAGACAACACACACACACACACAGAGCTCTTGTGTGGTCAGAGGATTAACACCCACTTAATCTGCCAGGAAGCAAACCAGATGTGCAGTGCTGACTGAGTGTCTCATCAGTGGTGTGTGTGTGTGGTGTGTGTGTGGTGTGTGTGTATCTCCCTCAGTCTCACCCTGTGTGTGTGAGTGTGTGTGTGTGTGTGTGTGTGTGTAGGGGTGTAAAACAAAGACAAACCTTGTTGTCCTCTGCTTGAGGGGTTGATGGTCCTGATGTGCCTGCAATGGTGATGATGGCGGATGGAGAGAGGCAGAAGCCACAGCTGGAACCAGAGCTGGAGCTCAGGACCAGCCCAGGAGATGCAGGCTCGACCCAGTTGATGTCCAGCTATGAGAGCCTGGGAGATGGCCAAGGGCAGGACCTCAGTCTGGCCAGGAGTGACCCAGGCTTCCCTCCAGCCAAGAGCAGCAGCAGCATCATCATCAAGGTAAAGGCTTGGCTTTTGCACCACAAATCTTTTGCTGAGGATCTCTCCTAAAAGGAATACCTTTTTTTTTCTCCTTTCCTCTTCCCCCTTTTCCTTCCCTTCTCCTTTCTCTTCTTGATACATGTGTATGTTATATGTATTTTCTTTTGCCCTTGGACTCTATTTCAGGTCAAACTGGAAGGCAAAATTCACCAGAGAGAGAGACAGAGAGAGAGAGAGAGAGAAATCAGCAGTAATTCAAAATATTTTGCTGTGGATCTAGTTCTTATTAACAGGGAAAGTTAATGCAAACCCTCCCTCCTCCCCCCCCCCCTTACAACCAGAGATTAAACAAGTCACACGTCTCATTCGCCGTCTCCTGTTGAATAATAATTATATTAATGATGGTCATAATAATTTATTGGATGCGGCGCCTCGTCACGACTTCGAGACGTCTCAAAGCGCTTCGCAGGATAGACTGTGAGCTCTCTTGAGTCAGTTGAGCTGCGGGAGAGGCCAGTAAAAGGGACTCGGTGACATTTACAACCGCGTGTATGTTTTTTTCTAGTCATTGTGACCTTGTTTGTTCAGTACAGGACCTCCTCACACCCTCCTTCCCCCTCCTCGGCTTTTACTCTCCCCCCTTCTAACGTCCCTCTTTCTTGTATCCCTTGATTTGTACCGAGGGTTGGGGGTTGGGGGGTGGGGTTGGGGGGTTGAAGGAAGACATGGCTGATAAAATCTTTTGCATTTGATCCTGGAGGACGTCTCAAAAGCGCTTCACGGGTTTTCACTGTAAAGTGTAGTGACCGTGCGCTTTGTGGACAAATGTGGTAGCGCCGCGCGCGTGTGTGTGTGTGTATGTGGGGGTGGGGTAGCGGTGGCCGGACGCGTGGACAACGCCGGCCGTTAGTGCTCAGAGTATTTTCAGGACACATTGCCTTGGCTGTGTTGGATGGTGTCTGAATCTTGACTCAGTGGAAGTCTTGTTCTGTGAGAGCCAGCAAAGCCCCCCCGGGTCGGGGACATCAAAGCAAATGTGTACTGAGGCACATCTTAGACATTATCTTCCTCTCCTACGCTGTTGCATTCACCGTCACCACAACAGCAACTTGCATTCACACTGCGCTCTCCCCCCCCCCCCCCACCACCCCCACGCAGGGTACCGTCCCAAAGCACTTGACGGTGGCGGAGCACGGCGCAGAGCCGGTGGGGGGGGAGGGAGGGGTGGGGTCTGGGTTGGAGGTGGGGGAGGTGAACGTAGGCACGGTGAAAGAGCAACAACGACAACAAGATTAAATTTCCATAGTGCCCTTCACGTCGGGAGGACGTCCCAAGGCGCTGGACAGTGTAAAGCATTTCAGACCCGAGCTGGGGTCGGGGGGAGAAGAGAGGGGAGGGGCAGGGGTGGGGTGGCCGATGGCATGGTCGAAGAGGAGGGTCTTGAGGTGAGATTTGAAGGAGGCTAAGGAGGGGGCGAGGCCGAGTGATTGGGGGATGGAATTCCAGAGGTTGGGGGCTGAGTGGCTGAAGGCTCTCCCGCCAATGGTGGGGCGGGTGGGGCGGGCGGGTCGGGGGACGTGGAGCAGGCCAGAGCCGGCTGAGCGGAGGGAGCGGGCGGGTTGGTAGGGGGTTAGGAGGCCGCAGAGGTAGGGTGGGGCGAGGCCATGGAGGGCTTTGTATGTGAGGACCAGGATCTTGGTGGGGCGAGGCAGTGGGCGCCAGCAAGGAGAGTGCGGGGGCTAGCCCTGGTGTAATCCTCCCCGCTCCCCACCCCCCACCCCCCACCCACCACGTATTGGCCAATTAGAACCAGGAGACTTGCCGACTGGGAATTTCAGCTGCGGCCATGTTTGCCGTTGGGAGATTTCCCCAAATATCTTTGTTGGCACATGACACCCGCTTATATCTGCTGGCCGTCTCCACACCCGGACCATTGTGGAAGCCGGATAGATCCAAGGCTTTGTCAAAGAATGGGCCATTCACTCTTTGCCAACTCGCTTCAAAGGGATATATTGTCTTGGAAGTTAATCCACTATTTATAGAACGTGTTCGCTTCTCGTGTGTTGTTGGGGGCGAAGCCACCGGGCGGGGGGTGGGGGGACATTCAATTCATACTTGCTCAGTTACGGCCAGGATTAGACAGGTCTACAACGAGAGGTGAGGGTTACTCAGGGTCCCCCTTCCTTCCCTCCCTCCCTCCCTCCCTCCCCCCACCGCTCTCCACCTTCCCCAGCTCGGATCCAAACTGCTGATGGTCCAGCGCCTTCGGGATGTCCTCCCGACGTAATTTTCTCGTTGTCGTCGTCGTAACGTAGCAATAATAGCAATACTAATAATTCTTGCGTTTGATGTAGCGCCCTATCACGTGAGTTCAGACGTCTCAAAGCCCTTCGCAGGATCCACTGTAAAGTATTATTATTGTTGTTGTCTAGAGAGTTATAAGTCTGAATGTAGATATTTCCGCTCAATGATATATTGATCATTTGACTACACGGCTAGGCCAGGAGGTTGTCTGTTCAAGCCCCCAAATCAGGACTTTATAAGCCCACAGTCTAGACGTGAAGGGCGCTATATAAATGCAAACTGTTGTCGTTGACTCCACTGCAATGCTGGTGGAGCTATTCATTGGCTGAGCCAAGGAACTATCCTAAAATCACAGACTGATCGACTGTGGTGAGACCACGACACTTAGCGTAACTATAGAGCTGAACTAATGAATGATGAATGAATGGATGAGTGAATGAGAAATGTACTCTAATGCAAACTCCTCTAGTCCTACTCTCTTTCCCATTCTCCCTCCGCTCTTTGGAGTTTGCCAGTTCCTCACCTCCTCCCTCTTGCCATCGGTGGCCAAGCTTTTAACCACTACACCTTCTCTCTCTCTCTCTCCGATGACCTGACTCCCAACAGACTCAAAGCCTCGGGTTGAGAGAGAGAGAGCTCAATGCTTTGAGACGCCCCGAAGATGCGATCAGGCGCTATCTCAAATGCAAGGATTAGTTGATTTATTACTGTAATGCGGTGTTTTAGACCTACCGCCAATTATTGTTTTAATTTATATTAGTAAAAACACAAACGGCAGAGAATTAAAAGCCAACGCAATCACTTAGAAGCTGAAGTGGCTTATTACACACACGGGGAATAGATTATTAACAGTGAGATAGATGCTAATGCCCTCACACACACACACACACGCGCGCGCGCGCGCTCCCAGGCATCAGAAGGATTGTGGTGGGGGTCAATGAGCTTTTGGAGAGAGGTCTTTGAAGAAAGAGTTGAGTGTGGGCGGAACACCATCAATGTTATTTTCTTTCAATAGATCAGTCAAACCCACGGCGGAATTAACATGTTGGAAAGGAAACGAAAGGCAACTTGAATTTCGCGATTTTTTTTTATTAATCCCAGTTCTCCCCTCTTTCATCTGCGATGCCCTCCGCCCCGTCAGGTTAACCAGCCCACGTCTGTCTCCATAGTGACGGCCACCTCCACATTGCGCAGCTTTAAAGTGCGTAATTTAGCGCGGTATAAAGGCTGGCAAGGCTGGCATCTATGTTTGTTCTTTGCACCGATCGTTAAAAATAGCCACGGCTTCACCAACCCACAAGACCAAACGCGTTGCAGAGAGCCGATCGCTGGTTCCAATTACGCTCGTTAACTTTGCTTCTCAGTCCCCGAAGGTCCACTCAGCCCACTTCCACCGAGGGGCCAATTGAGTCTTCAGAGGCTGTGGGGAAAGGGCGGGTAAACGAGACTGAAAAGGGTTTGCTCTCAGGCCCGACCGGTCGAACCGACCTCCTTCTGTGCTGTAAAATTTCGATCGTATGAAGAAGAAAAGCCCTCGCGTGCGGTGCAGCGCCTTGGCAGGGCGTTGAGACGTCCCCAAGCGCTTCGCAGGGTATATTGTACAGTGGAGTGACTGTGTGTTTTGTGGGCGAAACGCGGCAGCCACTTGCGCACGGCAGTCGCGGATGGATGGACCATTTTTTTGGGGGGCGTGAAGGGTTATGACCCCTGGAAAGCAATCCGACAATCGACTTAACAACCGGGTTCCTACTTACTGCCGGGAAAACAGAGGCGTGGGGCTGCAGTGCGGAAACTTGCCCAATGTTTCTTCCTGCCCTTTGGTTCCATGGTACTGATGGCCCCTGTATACCTACCTGTCTGCATTGCTGATGCGTCCACTGGGATCTGTTTTGCGCACAAGACGCACGCAGTGCAATCCCAATAAGGCAACTCAGATCTCCCGACGTTTGCCTGTAAACCTTCCATCTGTTCCTGCATCGAGTCCTGCTCGCTCAGTATCTGAAGGCAGATTCTGCTCATTACCTTCTGCGCTCAAATTAAAACGGAAGAGTCTTTCGCTGTAATCAACGGTGGCCGAAAGCCGGTTGCGATTAGGATTTGAATGTCGGTTCAATCTTCTTTCTGAGGGTTGGGATTAGGGAATTGGGCGATGTTAATAATAATAATCCTCGTATTTGATACAGCGCCTCATCACGTCTCTGAGACGTCTCAAAGCGCTTGACGGAATATACTGCCAAGTGAATCGACTGTTGTGTTTTGTGGGCGAAACGCGGCAGCCAATTGCGCCCGGCAGCGTCCCCACAAACGGGCGCGGATTGATGATGGTGGTGGTGGTGATGATGATGGTGGTGGGTTTCCTCTAATTGACCCCCATCGTGCGAATCAAATTGCTTCCCCATTGTCCCACCTTTTGCCTCGACGCAGAATGGGAACCGAGATCAGCAAGTGTCTCTGTGGTCCGAGAATGAGATCGCTTTTATTTCTCGTTCCCACCCAACCCCGCCCCCCCCCCCCTCCTCCACCATCTCCGCTCCCCCCACCACAAGTCGACCCGAGTAGAGGAACTGGAAGAAATGATCTTGTGCCGCGAGGTGGGAGTTGATTGCATAATGTCTGACACCGAGGCTATTTTAGCTGAGCGTGACTTAAGACGTCTTTGATCTGAACTACCCTTTGCCTACTCTCAAGTGTTTCAGTTTGGCTCAGTGGTCGCG